TTTCCTCCATGGAGTTGGGGGAAGGGAAAGTCAGCCCAGAAGGCACAGAATTGTGCTTTCCAGCTGGAAGCAAAGCACAGTATGGATTTGCATGTACTTACACCTCCTCTGCCCCAAGGCAGCTCCACAGACTTGAACCTCCCCACCCTTCAGAACAGGAGAGAATTGAATTTATTTCCACTTAAGTTCCTGGAGGTTGCCATGTTCCCCGTGGGCACTCAATATTGACTAAATTGAATGTTCCCTGTATTATCTTCCTTTTTCTCTTTTTCCTTCCCTGGTCCTCTGCTATTTCTTGGGGCCTTGACAATTTATATATAAATTATATAAATATATATAAATTTATATATATAAATTATATATTTATATATAAATATTTATATTTATATATAAATATAAATTGATATATATATATCAGTGTGAGGTCTCTCTATTTTAATATCACTTCTTCATGTTTGTTTGTTCTGTGTCTGGGTCTTCTCTCAGTTTCTCTTGGAATCTGCCCCTCTCTGTTTTCTTTCTCTGAGATTCTCTCTCTGTTCTTCCACTCCTCCTCTCCATCTCTCTGTCTCTCTCTCTATCATACGTACATGCACATACCTTTCTTTGTTTTTGCTCCCCTCCTAGAGTTATCATCTGAAGGGGTTCAGAATAAGCCTCCCCAAAATGTGCTACTTTGGCATGTAGATTCTTTGGGCTCAAGTCAGTCAAGGCCCAAAAGACTCAGGAAGAGCTTTTTACCATCCTCTTAGCTACCTACAAGAATTTAGATAGAGGGCCTAGTGTAGGAAGAGAGCAATCACCAGATATAACTATAAGGAATATGGGGCAGGGTGGTAAACTGGGGGGGAAGGAAGTGCAGGAGGGCCTGAAGACCAACTTTCTGTGTCCCATTATCTCTGCTTTGCATGGCAAACATTTGTTTACCACACATTTGCTCTTCCCATTTTCCCATGAATTGTCTTTCTCCCCTTTGAGGTCTCAGACTCCTACCCCCTTCTCCTTAGTTCAGGATGACATATAAGCCTTAGTTGCCTGACTGGTTGGGGGTCTCATATTGTTATGGGACTCTCATATGTATGCAATTAAATTTGTTTTCCTCTTGTTAATTTTTCATATGTCAATTTAATTAGTAGACCAGCCAAAAGAACCTAGAAGTGTAGAGAAAAAATTTTTCCCCTACACATCAAAAATCATTGCCTTTTTTCAAGAAATTCGACACATTTGAAGATTTTTTTATAAATGCTCAGAATAATTAATTTTACACTTTTTCCCCTTAAAAAGCATTTTCAGTCCCTAAATATGAGAATGCGGGAAAAGTGAATTCATTTATATTAACCACAGTATGGTCTAAGTCATGTAGAGTGATTGTGTCAGCTCTCTTCTGAATTTTCTGTTTGCAGTCTGCCCGGACAGCACTGCATTCCTCTGCTCTTTCTGACACAAATACAGCGACATTTCACCAGGCGACTATTAGCCTAGAGGGAATACTAACTTCCCCCTTCCCCTAGAGTTTATATCCCATTCCAGTAATTTGGCCCCAGATACTGGCACAGAAACACTGGTTGCATAAAGTCCTTGGAGCCTGATACTTACTTTTTGTCCTCTGTGCCTCCAATTTTAAAGACTAAAATGGGACACTGGTTTGCTACGACTTTCCTACAGCCACTTTCCGGGGAAGATTTAAAGGGTGTGATCAACCTCCTCTGGGGTTTCACACAAGTTACTGTACTGCCTTGGGAATTAAAATTAATCCTCCAAACATCACTGGTGCCTGGAAAGGTAACAAACTAATTGCTATCTAAGAGGGTATATGGAGGATTGAACTTTAAAGTGTACCTGGTATGGATAGACTATAAGCAAAACCTCTGCCCTTATGTTTAGGAGAAAAATCATATTTTCTTTTCCCTTTAAGCTCTCATTATTGAGAGCCTAACATGTGCCAAGCACTTTTTGCAAAATATCTCATTTACTCTTTAGAGCAACCCTGCAAGTTAATATGATGACCCCCTCCCACCACCAATTTGGCAGATGAGAAACTGAGGCTAAGTTAAATGACCTGACAAAAATCATAGTAGAGTTGAAACTTGTTATGTATGAGTATGAGTATTTTTATGTTATTGAAGTCAATTTTTATGCCTAGAAAAGGGATACACAAGATTTTTTTGGTGCACAATTAATATTTAATTTATTTGAAATCCTTATTTTTCTTAAGCTTGTATGTTAGTTTACAAATTTAATTAAGAACTCATAAATCTAGCAAGTCTTATCATTATTTTGAAGGAATACTTTACAACTTAATTAAATTATTTGAATATTTAGCCACATTTATCAATGTGATATATTTTTATTTCCTTTTTAAGTACATTGTGTGACTTAACAATCTTCCCAATAACTTAAGTAATTCTTACAAATCTAATAAATTAAATTTATAGATATGGTGAACTGCAGGCTCTCTTAAATGTTGCAAGTGAAATTTCAATCTGAAATTATAAGTCTAAAGCAATGAATCAATTACTCATTTTTAACTTGAAATTACAAGGTTAGGCTGTTTTTCTAATAGGCCTAATTTTCTTGACCAGTAAAATAATTAAACTTCAAAAATAAGCACAGATTCCTAAATGCAGATATTTTAGGGCTAACTTTTATATTTTGGTTTTCTTATACATAACACTAAATTTTGCTATCATTAAAAGATAAGGACACGATATCTCCCCAATAATTTTGTTGTTACTTTCCTAAAGTAATTTTAGGGGCTGCCTTCTCAGTTTTCTGGGGTTTCTTAAAAACATGACTGGACCCTTATCTGCTTTATCTGTAATGCTGTTGGGACACATTGAGCCTTATTTATGTAGGTCAATTCTCTCTATGGTAGACAGCTTTCTAAGATGACCCCAAAGATTTCTGCCCCTTGGTGTACACAACCTGTATAACCATCTCCCCTTGAGCATGGGTAGAACTTGTGAATCTGAATTATCACCCCTGCAATTGTTATGTTACATGGCAAAAGGAGTTTCCCAGATGTAATGAATTTCCATATGTAATGAATTTGAGTTCATCAAAGGGGAAAAAATTTCCTGGGTGGGCCTGATTTAATCAGGTTCAGGTGAGCCTTAAAATAAATGAGAAGTAGTGACAGCACTTTCCTGCTGGCCTTGGAAAGGGACTTTCAAGCCTCAAATGAGATCATAGCCCTGGGTGACACCTTGGTTTCAGTCTGATGAAACCCTGAGCAGAAGATCCTGCTAACGCACACCCAGAGTCCGCCATAGGAATTGTGAGATAATAAACTCTGTCGAATTTCTAAGTTCCCGTAGATAGTGACTTGAGGGAGTCCTCTGTGTTTCTTATATTCTTCCTGTATTTGGGCCATAACTCTTCTAGACAGTACAATGACATCCCATTAAATTCTGTATATCTTTCCTCATTTTGTCTAACTATTCCAATGTCAGTTTCTGGAAAACACTAGATTCCAAATCTATGATTCTAGAGTCAGACTCCTTCTACTCTTCCTTTTAGTAAACAAGGATAAGCTAGGTTTTGATGAACAGTCATGAGTGCTGAAATGATATTGAGATTCCTATTGTCCCTCACCATCCTGAGAGCATTCTAAAATTTCTCTGACTTGTGCTTCTTGGGCTTTCTCTCGTTTCTCTAACTAGATAGTAATTATATTCTAACATCATCACTTACTTAGTCCCTCAAAAATGTATAATAAGCCTTCATCAAGCAATCCTTAAGTCCACTTGTGCATTTATTCATTAAGCTTTTCTCTTAACAGTACAATGATAGCTGATCCATAATGCAGAATACTCTGAGACGTACCGAGCGTAAGAGATAAAATTCCTATTCCATAAGACTTTATGACCTAGCTGGAAACAAGGTATGGATACAAAAAAAATTCATAGTTTTGCAAACAAAATAATTTATGTTAAGTGATACATGTTAAGTGATATCACTGGTAAAAATAATAAGTGGAGGTATAAATGAGGTTAAGTTAAAAAACTTCATGGAGCAAGTAGAGTTGAAGTTCATTTATTCATTCAACAAACATATATTTAGAATTGCTGATGTGTCAGTCACCGTGTTAGGCTCTGAGTGTCCAAGAATAAGGCACAGTCTCCCTCTTCATCAAGCTTACATTGTAGCCAAGAAAACAAAAACATAAGAAAAGTATGAGGACACACACTATGATAAACACCATTACAATGGTGTATACAATATATAATGCAAAGCAAGTGGAGAGAGGGATTGGGCTGGAGATGAGAATGGGTGGAAGTCTGTGGTGAGGGACCATTTCAAGAGGTGATATTTTTGCTGAGCCTGATAGCCTGAATAACACTTGCCTTTTGTTAGCCATTTCCTGCACAACAAGAACTGCCCCCAAGCTCTTTACACTAATGAACCTCATATAATCCTCACAACAACTTCATTCGATCAGGGATATGATGGCAGTGGGGAGTAATTCCTGAAGAGGACGCTAAAGTCATCCTGTCACATCTTGTCTTCTCCTCCACCACTGCTCCAATCAAAGCTATTCTCATCTCTCTCAGACTTTCGCTGAAGCTGCTCTCTCAGCTGCTGCCATTGCCTTATACCTGGTCTCTTTGTGATGTTTTAAAAACACCAATCAGATAATGTCAGTGCTCTGAACAAACTTTCCAGTAGCTTCCCATCTCACTTGCTTTAAAACCCAAGGTTCTTACCATGGCTTTCAAGATCCTACATGATTTTTAAGATCCTACAAGATCTTCAACTCCTATGACATCATTTCCTACCACTCTCTCCTGACTCCATCGCTCTACAGCCCCCTTTCCCTCTCTTTGCTGCTCCTCAAATGTGCCAAGAATGCTCCTTGCTGATCCTCCTGCCTGGAACACTGTCTCCCAGATACTGGCACACCTCACTCCCTCCTCCATTCAGGTCTCTGATCAAATGTCATCTTCTCAGAAAAGCCTTCCTGACTAGCCTGTGGAAAACATTACCCACTCTCCTTTCCAGTCCCACATCACTCTGAATCCTTACCCTGCTTTCATCATGACTTTTACTGGATATTTTCTGTCTTCCTCAATGAGAATAAAGGCCTTGAACTTTATACAGTTCTTTATCCCCAGTGTGCAGCACAAAGGCTAGCACTAGAAGCTCAGTAAATATTGTTGCTTTTGTGCATTCATGAATGAATGAAATGACTTGTCAATGTCACACTCTGGGTGTTTGGCAGAGCCGGCCTTTGGATCCAGTCTTGCCTAATTCCAGACTCCAAGTTCTTAAATACTTCTTACTCCTGAGGAAGAAGAGGAAGAATAAGTTGACACTGGGGAAAGCTGGAGCATAGAGGATGTGAGAAAGACTTCACTTTCCTGAAGGTGAAACTAGGAAGATGGTTTGGGACAGACCAGGAAGGATCAGGAAGTCTTGAAAAGAAGCTCACAATTTCCCCTGTGGACATGGAGAGAAGGCTTGCAGCATGGTGTTAAGAGCCCCTCTAAATGCTAATGGTAAGAGCTTGAGACAGTCTGAACTGTGGAAAGGGCATTTATATACATTCTAATGGCACTCAGATTTTTTTCATCTCCATTAGATTTCTACAGAACACTGCAATCTAAAAGGGACCAAGTGGAGAATTTAGTAAATAGATTCCTTCTTGGTATTTTTCACACCTGACTTGGTATAGACTTTTTTTTTAAGATTTTATTTATTTGACAGAGAGAGAGTGTGAGGACAAGTAGGGGGAGCGGCAGGTAGAGGGAGGGGGAGAAGCGGGCTCCGTGCTGAGCAGGGAGCCCAATGTGGGGCTCGATCCCAGGACCCCGGGATCATGACCTGAGCTGAAGGCAGACTTTTAAAGACTGAGCCACCCAGGCACCCCGGTATAGACTTTTAAAAGCTGAAGTTTCACATTATGGTTGGATTTGCTCTCCAATCTCTTTTGGTGATCATTCTGCATATTGTTAATCATAATTATTATACTTCTTTTTTAATGCAAATGTGTATATGTTGTCCCTGGTCCCTGTTAAGCAGCATCCTTTTATTTTTATTTTATTATTATTTTTGTATGTGTGTATGGTGGGGTAGGCAGGGGAGAGGTGAGTCTCAGGTTTCTGAATCCATACGTCCTGGTATTTCTTATGGCCAGGGAAATAATGGAAGATGGTTTCTTTTCAGTTCAATTCTAGGTTCTTTATATGATGGATTTTGTTTATTGCTCTTGATACTTATTTTCCAATGAAGTCCCTAAGTAATCTCTCTCTGTTTTTAAATTTCCAAAGTTTTGTTATCCTCTCTGGTGCATTAGAGAATATGAATGTGAGCTGCCTGATTTATGTCAGCTATTATTTTCTATCTGGGTGGCTATGCTAGGTTTCATAATATGCCAAAGCTCATATTCAAATACAGACTATAGACCAGCATGTAAACAAGAGCAGAGAAATATTTTCTTTCTTCTACTGAGTAACTCAAAATAAGGGTGGGAAAAGGCAGCTTCATATGGGTTTAATCCTGGCTGGAAAGCAATGAAGCAACAACACTGTCTCTTTCGTTTTGGTAGTAATCAAAGCATGCAAAGCTGTGGCTGTTGACCCTTTGAAAAGCAGCAGAACTGTACCATGTATGCTGGCAAGCAGCACCCTGGCCTTTTTCCAAGCTGAATAGAGAACAGCCCCAACCAGCCCACTGACTGAGCAGGAAAAGCAGCAGCACCGTTGTGTTGCAGGAGACGCCTAAGAGGGATGAAGGGCACCAGAGAGATAGCTTTTTATGCTCTCAGGCAGAATCAAAGCTTCTGAAAAGCCACCATGCAAAGAATCAATACCAAAGGCCCAGAGAGAACCACAGATACAGGTAGGGAAGCTCAGGAGTGGCAAAATATATGTTGACCCTCATTTTCCAGTCGGCCTCCCAGGCTTTTAACATCACTGGAGATGCTGGGAAAGGGGCATGTACTCTTCTGTAGTAAAAAAGTAGGCCTTGATTTGTGTATTTGGGATTTTTTTTCCCTTGTGATGGAGGGACATGGGATAGGGCGGTGCTGTTGTTTACCCATGCATTTGTGCAAATGAGGAAAAGGCCCTTCTTCCTTAGAGATCCTTCCCCCATCTGCCCGGCACCTTCGTGTCGTGAACATCATGCATGTCATTTGCAGCCATCTGAGACAGAGTGAGCCATAGTACACTGCAAGAGTGTGGGAGGTGTCTTAGGAAAACAAAATGCTTGAGAGCTCCTGAATTTGTCTGGTGTTTGAGGAAGTTTCCCCCCTTTTTTTATACCACCTTCACTTAGATTTACATGCGGCTGATCTACTACTGTATCTACATCTATGCTAAATCACCCCTTTGCAACATGCAAATTAACCCCCCAAAATCTAAATCCAGTGCATCAGGAGAATTTCCACTTAAGGTTGTTCTGCTCCATCTTGTTGGTTTATATTTTATTTATGTTTTGTTAATAATAAATGTAATTATTTTATTTCTCTGTTGGACAAGTTTAGTTTGAAGGTGCAAAGGCAATTATTTTAATTTTTTAATTTATATATAAAGATTAACAAGGCTTGCTTTCAGAAAAAATTAAATTACTAAAATAATAAAATAAAACAAGAATCACAATACAAGCCCAATAATATGTCAAATTAAGTGTTCAGATCAGGTTCCTATTCTAGGTGAGTATATAATTATTTGTATAAAGTTTATGCCCTATAGTTTTTTTCTTGCATTGATAATATATTAGATGATTCCTGATGTGATATCTTGATAAAACCTTGAGCCGAGAAGAAAAAAATGTCAGATTACTAACTTCCTCTTGAAAGCCCCAGGTATCTGTGAAGCCTCCTTCTTAGGCTCCTTCTCTTGGGTTAGTTTGCTTTCTTTACTGTTAGGAGTTACCTTCTATTTTACCTAATACTGTAGCTCTTTTCATGTCCTTCATCCCCAAATGTCACTCTTGACCTTTACTGTGTGACTACCTGAAGTTGTACACTAAGCATGCATGAATTCTTCACTCTTTCAGAAACTTCATTTGGTGCTTTAATGGTCTACCATTTCAATTCACCTCAATTCAACAACTATTTCTTGATAAACTATTATATACAGACCACTAGACAAGGACTTTGAGGGACACAAAGTTGAAGGAAAGATAAACCTTGTACTCAGCATTCAACAGGCAATAGCAACAATGATAATAAAAACTGGCATTTGACTTTTATTCAGCATGTTACTAGAAGTCCTAACCACAGCAATCAGACAAGAAAAAGAAATAAGAGACAAAGAAGAGGCAAAGAAATACTGTAAAGAAGAAGTAAAACTGTCACTGTTGGTAGATGACATGATACTCTGCATAGAAAATCTTAACAACTCCACCAAAAAACTACTAGAAGTAATAAATGAATTCAGTAAAGTAGCAGGATACAAAATTAATACCTAGGAATCAGTAGCATTTCTATACACTAACAACAAAGTCACAAAAAGAGAAATTTAAAAACAACACCATTTATAATTGCACCAAAAAGAATAAACTACTCAGGAATAAACTTTAACAGAGAGGTGAAAGACCTGTACTCTGCAAACCATAAAACACTAATTAAAGAAATAAAGAGGGCACAAACAAATGGAAAGATTCCATGCTGATGGATTAGAAGAATTAGTATTATCAAAATGTCCAAATGACCCAAAGCAATCTACAGATTCAATGCAATCCTTATCAAAATACCAACAGCATTTTCCACAAAACTAGAACAAATAATACAAAAGTTTGTATGGAACTGCAGAAGACCCCAAATAGCCAAAGTAATCCTGAGAAAGAACAAAGCTGAATGTATCACAGTCAAGATTTCAAGATATACTACAAAGCTGTAGTAATAATCAAAACAGTATGGTACTGGCACAAAAATAGACACGTAGATCAATGGAACAGGATACAGACCCCAGAAATAGATATATGGTCAATTAATCTTTGACAAAGGAGACAAGAATATACAATGGGGGAAAGACTGTCTTTTCAACAAATGGTGTTGGGAAACCAACATCTACATGTAAAAAGAATGAAACTGGACCACTTTTAACACCATACACAAAAATAAACTCAAGATGGATTAAGACCTAAACATGAGACCTGAAACCATAAAAATCCTAGAAGAGAACACAGGCAGTAATTTCTCTGACAGCCATAGCAACATTTTTCTAGATGCGTCTCCTGAGGCAAGGGAAACAAAAGCAAAAATTAACTGTTGGCACTACATCAAAGTAAAAAGCTTTTGCATAGCAAAGGAAACCACCAACCAAACAAAAAGAGAACCTACTGAATGGGAGAAGATATTTGTAAATGATATATCAGGTAAGGGGTTAATATCCAAAATATATAAACCAACTCAACACCAAAAAACAAGCTATGGATTAAAAAATGGGAAGAGGATGATTTTTTTTTTCCAAAGAAGACATACACATGGCCATCAGACACATGAAAAGATGCTCAGCGTCACTCACCATCAGGGAAATGTAAATCAAAACACAATGAGCTATTACCTCATACCTGTCAGAATGGCTAAATCAAAAACACAAGAAACAATTGTTGGCGAGGATGTGGAGAAAAAGGAACCCTCCTGCACAGTTGGTGGGAATGAAAACTTATGCAGCCTCTGTGGAAAATATTATGAAGGTTCCTCAAAAAATTAAAAATAGAAATACTATAGTATATTCTTATCATTAGTTTACCAATAAGAACCCTGAAGCTTTTTAAGTGATATTCTTAAAATCAGAAAGCCAGTAAGTGGTAGATTGAACATAATAAGGAGCATGTGCCAAGAGTTGACGGGGACCAGACCCAGGCCTCATCTCAGCTGCGTGCTCACGGACTGATGTGTGTGTGTGTGTGTGTGAGCTTTATTCAGTCATAAAACAAGTTTCGTGTAATTGTAAAGCAGGTTCTTCAGGATTCCAAATTCAATTTCATTATGTGTTTCACTTGGCTTCATACACGTCACACAAGGAAAGCACAAGACAAAGTCGCACAACATAGAAGATACAGCGAGGGGTAAGGAGTTAACAAACCAAATTCAAAGTCAGTTACTGTGTTCAAGCAGTGGAGGATCTCTGTTATGTTCAGGGATTCGCTGGGCAGAGCCTTTGGCAGCCATTGCCTTTTTTGATGCCATCAAATGTGAAAGGGTCAGCGTCTGCAGAATCTGACAGTTTGCTGCAAAAATCCTCCCTTTTTGAAAGAGTTGAATCAATCTGGGGCATTTGCGGGCCTCCCCTGGCTCTGCTGGTTATCAGTTTGGGTGTCGCCAACCTGTGCTGGCCTCAGGATATCCAGTCTTAGAGACGATGCCATTGGTTGCTTACATCGCTGCTTGACGTGAGTGACTCCATCTTGTGCCCTACATACATCCACAGGAGTTTTGTTTTCTTTCTTTCCTACCTTAAACACCATGAGCCCTCTTACTTTCTTCATATTTATTTGCATGCTATCTTCTCAGGAACCTGCATCTTTGCCACAGTGACTTCTCATC